TCAGACGCAACCCGGGAATAGCCTGGAGTGACTCGGCACCGATTGCCTCGGGTGTGAGGTGTCGGGATGTTTGGCAGACGGAGACACCTGCAAGCTGCCAGTGGGTTTGGCTGGGCAGCGTTCCTTGCAGTCTCCTCAGGATCCCGGGTCTTTGTGCTGCACAAATCCATTTGCAGGGCTTTTAGGGTACATTGAGGTTTTTACACTTCTCTTTCTCCAAACAGGTAGTTTTGCTGAAGATAAAGGAGTTTCAGCACTTTTTTCCTCTGCTGTCCTTGTTACTGTACCAGCAGCACGTGACCCTTGTGCACAAATAATTCTGGGTTCGGGGTGCGCTGGCAGCTGCGTGGTGGGCAGCGCGGGGCAGGGAAGGGCTGTGCCGCTGTCAGTTGGGGAGTGCCCTGCTTGGATGGAAAGGGAGGGTGAGAGAAATTCATCCCAAACCTTTTATTCCTCAACTATTTCCCTCAAAAGCTTTCCTGCCACAGGGTTTGGAGCTGCTGAGCTGGAAGGGTTGGGAGGGAGAGGGCTGTGCCCCAGCCGAGGGGCTCCCCGCAGGCAGCAGGGCTGTGGGCAGTGGTCCAGGCAGGGCACGTGCCAGGCTGAGCATCCCCTCAAGCACCAGCTGTCCAAGGCCTCATCTCATTTTGTTTTGCCACCTCTGTTTTGGCACATCTTGTTCTGAGTCCTGACATCTCCCCCCAGACCCTTCTGCATCTAAAAATGGAATAAAAATACAGGTTGTTTTCCAGCAGCCCATGCGGATTGTCTCCAGCGCTGTTGCTTTTCCAGCCAGCCACCCACCCATCCGTCTCAAAGCTTGGTCTGACCCTCCCAGGGAAGGGGCATTCATGTTCATATGATGCCCACACCAGTGTTGAAATCCCAGCCACGTGCTGCCGGGCTCGCGGGGTTCCCAGCACCACTGCCGCTTGTGTAGCAGCTGAAAAAAGTACCCTGCAGACACTTGAGATGCAGCCATGAGTGTGAAATATGTAGATCGCTTCTAGAGGCTGGGGCTTTCCTGGCAGCATGGTCTGACCCAGGCTGGGGTCTCTGGGCCCCCCCTGGTCCCCATAGGGACGGGCTTCAGGTATCAGCTCTGATTTTGACCCCTCTGAGGTTACAGGGAATCTGATGAGAGCAGCTCAGGCTCATCATTCTGGCTTTTGCTATGGGACCTTTATTCTTCTCAGCACCCCAAACCTAGGTGGTTCCTCCTGTCCTTGGTGAGGTCGTCTAGTGCCCAAGCCCCCAGAGCTTGTCTGGGTGGGACAGGGGACGTCTCACATTCCTCCGTGAGCAAGGAGGGATGGCAAGGGACTGCACAACTGGAGGGAGCAGAGCAGAAGGAGGCTGTGGATGGTGACCAGAGGGGAGACCTCGGTAGGGAGGAGGTGGTTGGACAGGAGGCAGTGATGTGCTGGCAGAAAACCAGCCCCTCCACGGTGGCCACAGCCATGATGGCATCTCCTGGGGGGTCACCCGTGGAGCTGTACTTTCATGCGTGTAGTTCGAGACCTTCATTTGTTTTTCTGCAGGATGGCATCATTGTCAGCGCTGGAGCTGTGGCAAGCAGATGAGCTGTCCCGTGGTCCTGCAAGGTGAGCTAAGCCGTCTCTTCTTCTCCTTCCAGAGCAGCTCGTGCTGGGAGCCCACAAAGAGCTGTCCCGGCGCTGGGATGCCGACTACGACGCCTTTGTGCTGCCCTTGCTGGACGAGCAGCAGCCGTGCTACGTGCTGTACCGCCTGGACAGCCAGAACGCCCAGGGTTACGAGTGGCTCTTCTGGCTCTTCATCTCCTGGTCCCCCGACAGCTCCCCGGTGAGTGCCCCGGGGGTGGGACAGCCCAGCGCAGGGACACGGGTGTGCTCTGGGAGGTGGAGGGTGGAGAAGATGCTGGCCAAGCTGGCTGTGTGCTGGGGCTGAGGGGGAGCACTCACACGCTCCGTCACCATGCCCGGGTTAAGAAGTGGAGGCTTCTTTGGGGATGGGGGAATTTTTTAAGACACAGTGAGATACCCTGGGACAGTGTCTCTGTCCCCTTCACAGCGCTGCATGAGGAGGTGGAGGGACAGGGATGGAGGGAGGGGAGCAGTGTGGACCGCGGGGCCAGGATGGAGATGTCCCACTGTGGCTCTGGCCAAAAGCATTGCTGGGCAGAGCTGGCACTAACACTGGCACGGCTCGCCTGGCCCTGCTTTGTGCGAGGGCTGATGCCTCTGGACCCTGCTCCAAAATCAGCCCTAGAAGGGGCCAGGCAGGCTGGGTCCCTGGGAGCCGCGGGTGGCCGGGCCGGTACTGGCATCTGCTGGGCTGGCATGTGGGGTCAGAGATGGTGTCAGAGAGTGGGTGAGGCTGGGCCAGTGGATGGGAGGCTGGTCTGGGGGATTTTGGTGGTATGGCCACAAAAATGCCATCTTGAGTGCATTGCTGTAATGGGCTTCCAGCAGGACTGAGATTTGCTGCTGTGTTATATATGTGTGCTTGTCACAGATAGATATATATATATATTTGTTAAACATTTTACATAATCTATATAGATTTACTGCCATGTTAATATGTGCACTTGTCATATATATACACAAGTATATATGTTTGTTATATATATAACAAGTGGACGAGATGTTTGTTATATATATAACAAATATATGTTGTTATTAGATATTATTTTACATATTACAACACATATATAAAAAAGACCCGCTGTAGTTTGTTGGGATATATCTAACAAATATGTATTATTCTATATACACATATATCCACACACATATACACAATTATAACAAAAGAATGTATATAATTTTATACGTGTGTGTGTATATATGCGTGTATATATACGTGTGTAGGTATAATAATAGAGATTGCTTTCCTGGCTGCTCCCTGCCCAGAGGTGCTGTGGTTAGAAATCAGCCCGAGCTAGAAACAAGGTGGTTGTGCCCAGGGAGAGCTGAGGTTTGCGGGGTGGTGGGACAGCGGGCGCGAGCATCGGGCAGCTCTTGCGTGGAGGTGCCACTCTCCGTCCCGCCGCGCTGCTCTCTGACCACGTTTGCTGCCTCTGTCCCGGCACAGGTCCGGCTGAAGATGCTGTACGCCGCCACACGAGCGACGGTGAAGAAGGAGTTTGGCGGGGGGCACATAAAGGACGAGATGTTCGGAACGGTGAAGGTACGGAGGGGTTCTTGGGCAGCCTTTTGGGTTCAACCCTGAGCTTCGGGAGCCTGCCCTGGGGTCGGTGCTGGAGCTCAGGGGGAACATGGCACTCAGTCTGTCACCGAGACGGTGGAAGAGGTGGGAGGAAGGCTCCCAGGAGATCCAGAGCTTTACTCTGAGCAGGACAAGAAGTGCCAGGCGATGGCAGTGTCACTCCAGGCGGTGGCAGTGTCACTCCAGGCATGGTTCTCCAGCTGCCCTTCCCCGGCAGCGCTTGGCAGGAGGTTTCTCCTCTCCCACGGGCTTTCACAGAGGGAGCTGTGCAGCCAGGGCCTCCCGGGCAATGCTCTCCATCTTTATTCATCCTCATGAGCTCTGTTTATTAGCCGGAGGAGCCACGCTGCCGCAGCTGCAGGTGTCCGAGGACAGGCATGGTGGTCAGCACGGGCATGGGTGGTTGTGATCACTGTTTAAAGTCGAGCGTGAGATTTGCGTGGAGGCATCCAAGAGAGCTGCTCGAGTTGATCCTCCTGGAGAGGAGAGAGCCCAAGACCTGCTGTGTCGCTCAGATGTAGCCTGAAGGCTGGGGGTGCATCCAGCCCCACGGCGATAGCCACGCCTGACACTGTCCCTGTCCCTCTGTCTGCAGGAGGACGTGTCCCTGAGCGGTTACCAAAAGCACGTGTCCTCCTGCTCCGCGCCAGCCCCACTGACCGCAGCCGAGCAGGAGCTCCAGCAGATCCGCATCAACGAGGTGGGTGTCTGCTGGGTGGGGAGAAGGAGTCCGAGACCCTCGGGGTACATGGGGTGTGGGATGCAGGGATGTGTGTTTGCTGCTGGAGGTGTGGGAGCCAGCATCCGAATGCATTTTTACTGAGCTCTCTTGTACCTCTGCAGTTTAACCCCTTCCTGCCTTTGCCGAGGGGGACTGAGCATCCGCGTGGTCAAATTGGTGGCATAAAGAGGAATTTACAGACTACTATTTTTTTTTTCCTTGCGAGGACGTGAGCTCAGGGCTCCGTTTGGCTCACTGTAATTGGCAGTCAGAAGGCTGTTTGAGGCTGAAGACAGGCAGCAGTCTCTAATCTCTAGATATTGGTGCAAAGCCCAGAGCTGAGTCTGAATTCATGGGGGAGGCAGGAAGATTTCAGGCTTACCTTTGGGCTACAGCAGTGTCCTTTCCCATACTCTTCCTCTATGGCTATAAATATGAGGAATGCTGTCCCAAGGAACAGAGGTCTTAGCCTAAATTTGGGGGGGTATGTGCTGGAAAAAGATGTGGAAGTGTCATGGGGCAGGGCTGGGGAGAGACAAGGCTGTAATGCCATCGTCTCCCAGCCAACATCTCGCTGCACTTGTGCCAACCTCTGTGGTGCTGCAAAATGCCAAGACGGGAGGGGATCGGATAGCTGGGTGGGAAGGCCACCTGGAAGCAGGATTTTCTTGGGGTGGAGGGATTGCACTTGGATGCCGTGGAAAGCCTTCCTCTCCAGAGGAGCATCCCTCTCTCTTCCACGCGTGCTGGGGCTGTGGGCTCACAGGTGGATCAGGACATGCCCGGGACATGCGAAGGCAATGAGCCTGATGGCATTAATTAATGGCACAAACAAGGCAGGCGGGTTCCACCTGCCAGAGCAGGTCTGGACATGGCAGAGTTGGGCAGCGTTCAGGAGATGCCCCCAAGGGGTGGTCTCCACCGCATGAGGCTCGATGCAGTTACCCCAGCTCACAGCCCGGGGGGGCTGGGCAGGGGTTGTGATGGGGGATCCGAGGTGATGCCCACGCTTGGGGAAGAGAGAGATGGATGCTGATGGTGGGTCTGCGGCTTGTCTGGCACCTTTGGGCGTTTGTGCCGTCACCTGGGCTGGCCAGTGCTGCAGGACTAGGTAGTTTCGGGGGTTTTTGGGGGGGACTGTGTCTTGCAGGGTCAAGTGCCCAGGTAGGTGTTGCTCACGGTGCTTGTTTTCGGGTTGATCTGCTGTGCTCTGCTTCCCACCCTCCCCTCTGCAAGATGTGGCTCCCAGTGAAAGTGCTGCTGGTATTTTGTTTGGTCAGGAGTTATTTTCAAGGTACACTGTCCCCTGTGTCAGCCTGGGCCACGGGAACAGTCACTGGCATTTGTAAAGAGAGGAAAATGGAGGTATTTTTGCCTGTGGATTTAAAGGTGGGAAGCAGCAGAGCACTGGGTGAGCTGAAGGGTCTCCGTGTTGGTGTGAGGGCTGCACCCGCTCGCCCCCAGGCACGGAGCAGGAGGCAGGTGGGCATGCCATGCCATGGTCGTCTCCCCAGGGCAGGGAAACTCGCAGCTCTCAGTAAGTGCAGCTGCGAGCGAGTTTCTGGGCCACCGAGAGCAGCTGTATGGGAGCAACTCTCAGGCTGTCGCAGCACCCTGCTCGGTACAGCAATGCCTCCAGCCCTGCGCGGTGCCTGCAGGGTCCTTGCACGTGTGTGTGCGTTGCAGTTCCTTCATTTGGGAGAGCAGATCCAGCACACGGGAGCAAGCAGTTGGGGCTGGCAGCAAGCTGCAAAGCTGCCGCCGGGCAAGCCCTGGCCTCAGCACGGGTATCTGCCCATGGCCAAACCAGCTGTCGTGGTTTTACTCTGGCTAATGAAACACCTCAG